TTAGCCTTATTATTGACCTGTAATCATACCAATGACCTTAATGCTTGACATACAATGACGAACATAACCTAGCCCAGTTGTCACCATCCTAGGTTCGGAATGGTGTTCTTATTAACTTATCATCACGCTAGTGGATTTTGCTGGTAGTTTTCATGAGCTTATAATCACATCGGCGTATTTAAGGTCTGTACAGTCTCTGTATGTGACATTTGACAGTATGGCGTATTTGATTGCCTCATTTTCCAGGGTAGTTATTGGTCAAGACTGATCTGTTGCCTGAGCGGATTAAATCCAATGATCATGCAGCATTGGGAATAAAATACCTCTATTATTATGATCGTTGCAATTTATATGCCGCTGGCATACTCTTGCATCTACATTAGTAAACGTAAACAAGAGAAACATAATTTTACGTTTTCGTGCGATTTAGGTTACTTATTGCTACCATTTAGTATTCCAACTCAAATAACCCCTGTTTTCCATCACTAGAGGCCTTGGGGAAATTTTTAGATGAGTAATAGTAAACTAATCTTTTTATCATTCGTTGTGATCTCAGTTTAAGCCAACATTTTTTGCACTTACCACCCTCTATAACCGGAGGGGAGTTATTACTTTTGCTTTTTCTGCTTTTGACAGTATTTCGTTATTGGAATCCCATTCTTATTATGTTTCACTTGATACAGCCAGCCATGTTTCCTCAACCTTCTCTCATCTGTCCGCTGACCTGTGGTGGTTTTAAACATAGTAATCCCTGCCTAGTGTTGGTCATGCTTATCATTGGGTATTCTTTTGCTGTCGACCTATTTGTCTGTCTGTTGTAGATGACGCCGAAGTTCATCGTCTGCGTGTTCGTCTCGAGGAAGTGGAGCAGGAAATGACTCGTCTCCTGGAGGTTGTAAACTCAGCCGCTCTGCCTAGAACTTCAGCCATGATGACACCTGCCTGCAATCATCACCATAATCATCCTGCACATCTCAGAGAAGGACAGATGCGCGGCAGTTTGGAGTGCAGTGAGAAGACGGACGACGAAGAGGCCCTGCTTTCAGCCAGTGAAGGTGAAGGCGAAAACAATGAAGTAAGCTGCGGTGCAGGTGTATTTTCACCCAGAGGGTTCTCTCTCTAACAGCACTGTAATCATGTCGACTCTGTAGAATTCTACAGCGACTTGCTTCCTAGTCTCGTCCGCGGGCATCTCTGTCGTCCGAGCAGTGCTACAGTGGGGTCGTAGCTACTGTCATAGCAAATGATTTGTGCAATTTCTAGCCGAATTTTTTATTGCTGTAAATGTTTGCATTCTGGGTGTATGTATAAGCAGAGAATAAGAAGACTGTTCGATCGCCGGAGGCATTTCTTTATTCATCTGAACGATCGAATTAATATAGGCGTCCATCGTGAGAGATAACGCGACACCAAAACAATCAACAGTTCAAGGGGCAGGGTCCAACTAGACGTCGGTAACGACAGCCTGGCGGTGACTGCGCAGGGCTCTGTATGCCGGCACCAGATCGATATATCCGTTGACTGACGTTTTCATCGGAGGCCCAGGCTTAAGTCTATTCGCGGCTCGTCTTGCTTCTGGTGTAGGCGATTATCTGCGTAGCCATTTGTGGTAGTATGTCACAGCATCGCACCGTTAGCTTATGTTCATTTACGAGGCATCCGCGCATGCGTCCCATCTGACCTGTGCAGTTACAAGGCCAGTTTAGGCTTCGGATGCAAGATACTACGCCCAACTGTTTATTGGGATTTAATTGGTCCTTGACTTTCATGACCCTACTGCGCATGGTACCCCTGTACCGGTGCGCAATTCCGACACCCGGTTCCGCAGCAATGTGCTTGGTCGCCTCTGACACGTTCTTGATATATGGCAGCACATGCCTTGTCATAGGGGCGGTTTCTGGTTGGGTCCTCTGGGGAGGGCGAACAGGTAGGCAGCAGATTATGAACGCCGTCGGATAGCCGGTCTGCATAAACCGGTTTCATGGAGGTATAGGTTTCGCGCGTTTTGTTCCTTTTGGATTGCTGCAACGTTAGTCTGGGTCCGTTTGAAGAG